TCACCAGAGTTGCAGGGCCCAGAGAGGTCCCATCATTCTCTGCATCCTATCTGACCTTAGAGGGGCAAGGGCCAAAATATTGGCTGTTTTTGTCTTGGCCCTTTTTCTTCCTTGACTTTGGTCTTCAAGTTTTTGGTTTTTAACATCCAAAAAGCCAGTTTCACCAGTCTTAAAGAGGGAGTAACAGATTATAAGTTCAATATCTATAATTTTACATAGACTTCTTTCATTTAATTAGGGTTAGTATTAGTACTGGAAGTCATCATTATATACTATCTGTCCTGATGGTTTATCATCTCAAATTAACTCAGGTTTTTTAATTTTGTTTTTTTTTTTTTTTAGAAGCAGTACCTCTGCAAAACACTAACAGGCAACAGTTATAAAGTTTACAAGGAAAATACAAAGTGAAATTAACAAAGAAAAAAAACATATTCAGTTTGTGTAGAGCTATGAACCAAGAAAAGACTTTTATGATCTTGAACCTTTACTTAGTTATATATTATATCCCCTGTTTGAGATCACAGTAATCTTTACAATAAAATTCAATCTTTTGAACACAACTTTAAATGAGCTGAAATCTAGCCTATTTTGGAGCCATTCTAACATGGACTAAGGTGGGAAGCAGAGCCTTATCTCAGGTAAGGCAGAGCTCTTCACAAATAACACAATACAACATTACATCTGAAACATGAATCAAAGAAATGCTGAGAGAGTTTTTAACTTTCTTTTTGTGGAAAAAATGGCAGAATGCTTCCATGTTTTACAGTGTCACTTTTAAACAGATCAGGATCTCCTTGTTACCTTCCAAAAATGTATTTAAATTCCAATTTCAGTGTGAAGAGTAACACAAAATTTTATATATATAAAACTTATTGACAATAGGTTATTTTATCCAGCTATAGAACATCAAATGACATGAATAAATACCAACCAAATCCAAGACTTTTGGATACAAATCGAAGATTTTGCTACAGATTATTTTAGTTTGGATAACACCAAATTGGCAAAGTGCTCTCCTAAGCTTTACATTTAACCAAATTTAAAGTACAACTTAGAATCCAGAGTGGACAGTAACAATAATTACAGTCTGCATGGATTAACAAAAATCAAAAGATAGTTTTAAATCTCTTATACATTTAGGAAATAGTGTTAATGAATCAGAAACTGACTTGGTTGAAGCAAACAGATATAAGACAGGTCTTCAAATGACAGTGTGGCCATTCTATGTCAAACACAATGTATAAAAGAGAGCACTTATTGGTTATCTTGCCTGTAAACTTATATAAACTTTCATTTTATAAACTTTTACATTACACTCAGACAGATATAGTTCTCAGATGCATACATATACCTAGTAATGTTTTGAGTGTCAACAATAGTGTCATAATCTAAATAATAGTTTTTTGTTAAACCAGTTACAAAGTAATCATTTAAGAATTTAAAATAGGTACAGACCCTAATTCCTTTAAGGCTTAATTTCTCCAAGTAATAAAACCTAACAAATGTAAGAAAATTATCTCAATAGATAAGAACAAATCAATGTTTCAGATTTTGCTTCATATCATTACATTAAAGTTTAAATAACTTTGTATTAATTATAGCCAATTAAACACAAACATAAACATTATAAGATTTACCTTTTGCAAATCTTCTTCGACTTACTAAAACATTCACCACTACTTTATATCCTTAGTTTTTCTTTCATCTTGGACTTCAGCACAAAATATATTACTTTACCTATCAGACAAAATACTTTCTCATCCAGAAACATTTCTTTTACCTTCTAATTTTCCATACCTATAACTTTCTTTTCTCTTTTCTAGTTTTGAACCCTTCCTTAAATTCATATTCTGAAATGAACTATTTTAGTCAGTTTTTTGTTGCTGTGACTAAAAGATCTGACCAAAACAATTGTAGAGGAGGAAAAGTTTATTTAAAGGCTCATAGTTTCAGAGGTCTTAGTCCATAGAAGGCTGGCTCCATTCTTTGGGGCTTGAGGTGAGGCAGGACAACATGGAAGAAATGTGTGGCAGAGGGAAGCAGCTCACATTGTGATCAGAAAGTAGAGAAGGAGACTCTACTTGGCAGACAGAAATATATACCCAAAGCCCACTCCTCAATTCCCACCTCCTCCAGCCACACCCCACCACTGCAGTTACCACTCAGTTAATCCCTATCAGGGGATTAATTCACTGATTGAGTTAAGACTCTTACAAACCAATCATTTCTGAACCTTGTTACATTGTCTAACACTTGAGCTTTTGGGGGGATACCACATCTAAACCATAACACATACCTTATGAATGTTATCTGTGTATTTAATTTATACAACAAATTTTATCCTGGGAGGAGGTGGACAGTCCAGTGTATACTAATAAAAAAAAAAAAACAGGCTTAATCTTTTTCCTCATAGGTTGTATTTAAAAGGTTGGAACACAGGATTCTTTTGAGCCTGACCTGTTTCTGTTATCATTATCACAGTGTCATCAACTTTTAGTGAGTTCCCCACTGTCAGTTGTACCCAGAGGATCCTTTGGGACATTTTTGCTACACTAGGCATATTGATATACAATGCATCCTTTTCTTTGGTCTTCCTTGAAGATCTCTTTGCAGAGGATGCCTTCAAAACACAGGTTGGCCTTCTTTTATGTCTTTTTCTTATCTGGGTGCAGTTATTTATTCTGCCAGTCTCCCCAGCCATTTTAGTTTGATGGGCTACTATTATAGCAAGAATTGCTCTGCCCCAGTGATGAATATCCCCTGTCCAAATGGGGTGTTCTGTTAGATTTTAAAAGAGGAGACTAGTCCTGTCCCTAGGTCATAAACTGACAGTGCTGGAATCTACTGCACATTTTTTGTGGCCAGCAGCCTTCACCTCCCATGGGCAAAATAGGGCTGAAAGGAAGGGCAGTTTCTCTTTGGACATTTTTCTACAGCTCAGGCAGATTTTATGGGATTTTTTTACCCAGATTAGGGCTAGTGTCCTTGACCACATGAGATGATCTATGCCTGAAAAACAGTGTGGGGAGTGCCAGCACTGGGTGTCAAAGATTTAAATCTTTTTAAAACCCTTTTTCTGGTATCTTGCTCTCCTTGCACACCAGAAGCAGTGCCTTTGGGCACCTTCAACTTAGTTCCTGATGGTTCAGATCCCTATCATGCAACTGCATAAATGCCTGTATATACAGAATCTCTTTCATAAACTTTATCCCTGACAGACAAACTACAAAGTCAAGATTGTATAATAATCCAGAAAAACCATTAAAGGGCCAGTAAACTGTCTTTCTCTTAGTCTTACACCTGTAGGTGGCCCATTCAGTCAAGATCTCTCTACTCAAGAGACTACAGGTAAGATCAATGCAGCATGGCTCTTGTCTTAAAGGGCCAGTAATAGACCAAAAAATCAGACAGAAAAAAGGATCACCGAAACCAGGGCTGTCAGAATGGAACCTTTAAAATAGACAGACCCACACATACAAATTTCTTTCACTTACTTTACTTTTGACAGACCAACTTCAACTGTAAGATTGTATAATAATCCAGAAAGCTATTCAAAAGCCAGATCATTACAATAAAACATTATCATAGACTTATACCACTATCAGTCCTTTCTTCAACTCACTTTACCTCTGACAGACCAACTCCAGTTGCAAGATTGTACAATAAAGAAACACAGAGAGGAGCCCCAAAACCATGGCCGATAGATGGGAACCTTGAAATTGACCAGCCAAGATCTTTTCCAAGAGATTACCTGTAGAATCAATGTGGTACTGGCCAAGTCTTAAAAGAGGCAGTAGCAGATTCAAATAAAACAGATAAGCGGAGGGAATTCTCAATCCTAAGGCCAAGAAACAGATGAGAACCTAGAACAGATCAGAAGGGAGTACATATCCCTAGGTTCTAGAGTCCATTTTAACTGTGACTCCTACATCAGTGGCACCACAAATGTCCCCAGAAGGAAGGACCAGATGTTCCCACAAAAAATGAACCAAGTATATAAAATCAAGGGGCTCAGCATGCACAGCCGAAGACTTACCAAATGGCCAAAGTTGTTGACACTATCCTGAGTTCAGTTTCCTTCTTCTCAAAGTAGACCATGATGGAGCAACCTGTACTGTTTAGGGAGAGGAGATGGGAATTGCCTGAAGCAAAAGGAGCTTTGGCAGCTGGTGGGACATTCCTCTGGTCCCTCCCTTTACTCACAGGAATGGCTCCTCTGTTCAAACTCACAGGTCTCCTAACTCTCCTGAAGTTGACTCTCAACAAGTTCACCAACACCGTGACTCCTCAGCATGGAAGTGTTGGGTTCCTTAGAGAAGCAGGCCTGACCAAGAAAGCTGGAATGGTAGCTGCTCTCAGGTCCCATCTGGGTGGCCAAATTTGTTGCTAAAAGCTCAGTCCTTGTCCCTGATGCCAATCTGAAATAAGGACATGGTTTTGAGAAAAAGGAAATAGAAGGTTTATTGCTTTGCCAGCAAAGGTGAAACACAGGGGACTCCTGTCCCTATGTCTGTGATTTTGCCCATCATCAAGAACAGGGGGATTTTAAAGAGGTGATTCAAAGGCTAAAGAGTCAATGAGATCAATCATATAGTGGAAGCACTGAGCTTAGCTAGAAGCAAAGGCAGTTATTTCATGGTATAGGAAAAAAGGTAACACAGAATCTGGTGGGCATTGTGGAAAGGTTTTGTGTGTCTGTATATGTGTGTGTGTGTGTATCTTTTTTTTGTTGTTGTTGTTGTTTTGCTTCAGTTTTCTCACTGAAATAAGAAGCAGGGACATCTGGAGGATGAGAATTGGAAGATTCTGGAAATTTGGAGAGAGTATAAAGGGAAATCTGGATGATACTTGGGTTGTATTACCTTCTCACATGTATTTAATTTAGCCAGATCAAACAACCAGCATGGATTTTCCTCTGGCGGCTTGTAACTGCCCTGTTGCAGACAGATAGCTGGAAACGAAAGGAATTGACAAGTAATATCCCCCTTCTCATTTCTCAGGTGGTTAAATGGTTTTAATTGGGAAGGACTGAAAGCACGGAATCTCCCATCACCCTTACGAAGAGAGGTATGGTGTTTACTATATTACTTATTTTTTTCCTGAGGATTTATTTTTGTAAACAGATTTTAGGGGTGGGTGTGCATAGGCATGCACACACATGCGCACAGATACATAACAGTTTAGGTGGTTTTTGACAGTAATTTTGATCAGAGGGACTAACTACTGTTTCCTATTTGACCAGCATTAGCTGTCCTCTCAGGAACTGTTTACATGTCAGTGCCACCCAAGTCCCAAGGTACTCGATGTTCATCAGGCTAACAGATGGAATATCATTTCTGTAATAGTTACCTTTAAAATTTTGTATTGTATTTATATCATCTGGTGCTGCTGCATGCCATTAAAAATGTAATTATAACGGAATCCAGAAGAAGTATTTGTGCTATCACAGAAATTTCTGTTGTCACAGAAATTTTTAAAAATATGTTAAAATTCAAAGCACTTAATTATAAAGAAAGATAAATAATAAAGTTTAACAGCAAAAAAACCATTTTATATTAAGATGAATTTTATAGGAAAATGGAAATGGAGGGAGAAAAGTGATGTAATATTTCTGACTTTTAAAATTGGTTTATCAAACTTCAGTGATCACTAAAGTACAGTAGACTTGTTTAAAGGAGTAAAGTAACAATAACATTTTATCTGGAAATGACAATATTTACAACATACTAGAAATTGCATTCTCCACAACTATGAAAACTTACATGACAATTTAGTAATCAGTCTGCAAATGTGCAAAGAGAAATAGCCTTTCGCAATTGTTTCAGAGACAACACTAGCAAAATGATAACAGGGCATTAACCTGGGAAAGTCTTTCTTCCACCCAAGTCAGCTTATGTTCTGCTTCCTCTAGGACTACACTGTCCAAACTGCGTACTACTAGACAATGAATGATCCCCCCACCTGGCCCCCAAGCTCCAACACATTATGATGATCATTAACTATATTTTTAATGATATTTTAATCTGATTCATCAGTTGGGCACTGTATAATTTGTCTGAAAGAAAAGAATTAGAAACTACCTGATTTGCAAACTAATTTAGTGCCAGAGACATTTTATTCTTTCAACAGGATCACTAATATTTTGAATTGTCCCTTTGGCATCATGGATACCCGATAGGGATGAATTAACCATATGAAAATTCAAGATTGGCAAAAAACTTAAGTAGAAGAAAGACTCTGACAAACTTTGACTTTTACATATTTGCTTTTAAAATATTTTTCAATTTGATAAAATCATAGGTATTATTTCTGTTACTTTTTCTTTAGAAAGTAATTCCTCATGCCAGGTAGCAACTAATGAATATAAGCCACTGACCACCGATCATTTGCTTCTTAAGAAAAAAATCTCAGTAAGCTGAGACTGTGACTCAATGATGATATTTGGCCCATATTTTCTTAATGTGTTCTTTACAAGTGGTTGTGGCATTGAATTAGTGTTCAGGTAGAAAAAAGATCACCTGGGTGCAATAGCATGCTTAATCAACATTATTATTCTCACCTTTGTCGTAAAACTTTCTATATTAGCTCAGTGGACCTATAGATCACAGCTACTTTGACAAGTATCCTCCTGAAAAGGGAGTGCCTCCAGATGAGCTGTCCGGCTGGGATAAGGACTTCTAACAGAAGACAAGATGATTATTGCCTATACGGAAGAGGACAATAAGGATCAAAAATCTGACACTGATTATTTCTGTCTTCAAAGTATTACAATATCTTTTGGAAGACCATTAGGGAAAAGAAATCCCTGTGCAGGAGGTGGAGGAGAGTGGTATGGATGTGGTTCTGAATGATAATGTCTCATTTAGATGCTGTGAATTATTCATGTATTCCATTCTATGCTTGTGTCAAATGCTGAAGGCCATCCCCTGCCCCTTTTCCACAATCAAACCATTTTTGTTGAAGTAGCATAGTTTTCTCTGAAATCTACTGCTCCTTCCCAGTCATACTCTTCTCTTTTGAGTCATAATAAGGGCTTAACAAGGGCCTTGCCCTTGAGCAACTAAGTTCTGCAAGTAAGAGGAAGAATCTGAGTAAATTTTGGAAGATTTCCGCAGCTCTCAACAACTCTATGTAGGCATGGTGGCATCTTAAAAGGTGTTATGTAAAAATCTTGGTAATCAATAGTTCTTGACTTCTTTCAGCCTAGAAATACACAAATATGCTTCTGAAACTAGTCTGGAAACTGTGAGTGTGAGTATTAGAGAGTGATACTCCATAAAGTAAATAAGTCAATTTATCCATTATATTCTATTGAGAAACTTAGAAAAATTAAACAAAGCAAAACTATTTTTCTTTCTCCTGTGACCAGCTATGAATGATACCTCAGAGATTTTCAAAAACTCTGCTAAAAGTGGTTATAATTTATGGTTAAATGAGGACCTTTAGAAAGGTTTTATCTGCTAAAATGTTTTCACTACCAAAGTAGAAAATATATTAAAATGAAATCATGAAAGCTTTTCCTCCCTGTTAGAGATAAAGGAGAATATATTCCAATAGGTAAAGTTATGGACTCTTTGAAACTCTGAGCTATTTTGGTCAATTCTGTCAGTGTTGCTATTAATAAACCAAAAAGGGATAGAGTGGCTACCATTAATTTTTAATGAGAAACCTATTAGCAAATGTTGATGCTTTGCAATCTCTGAGGAGTTAATGACTCTTTTTAAAGACATTTGAGTCCTGGATGTGTTTATAATTACATGCCATTGAAGAAGTCATAGGATTTTAGAAGTAAAAGAATACCTACTACTGGTTGCAGTGGCTCCTGCCTGTAACACCAGTGACTTGTGAGGCTGAGGCAGGAGGATTGCAAGTTTGAGGCCAGTCTCAACAACTTAGCAAGACCCTGTCTCCACCAATTAAAAAAAATGTGCCTCAAAATAAAATAAAAATGAACCTAGGGATGTAGCTCAGTGGTAGAGTAACCCTGTGTTGTATCCCCAGTACTGCAAAAACAAAGCAAAATGAAATGAAAGAACACCTAGCATCTGGCCTCTTCCTGCCTCCTCCTGGAAATCTTCCAAATAATGATTAGAATATTTTCAATAATGTTGGATACTAGTATCTAAGAACATCACTAGTAAGTGAATGTTTATAGGGATTGACCATGATCACTTTATTTCCACTTTTTAAAATGGATGGGAAGCAGAGCTTTCTCTGTAGTTTTTTTTTTTTCTTTCAGTCTGACAGAGTGCAAATGATATCCAAATTCCAGCATTATTCAAGTTTCTGGTTATATTTTTATATTATAATAGTCTATGTGAAACACAACCTCCACCTGTTCTGCACACCTGTTTCATCATCCAGAGAAAGTCAGTTATATGCTTCCTGAAGACTTTAACCTGATAAGTGAGGCCCAATCCAAGAAAGTGCATCCTTAACAAATCAGATTTCCACACTTACAGTCCTTTTGCTGAACCAAAGAGTTTTTGTTTCCTGGAGTAGTATTTTTAAAGATTATGTATTGTACATAGAAAAACCATTTTTAATAGGATTAACATAACCTGCTTAAAGAATTTCTAAAGTTTTTAAAATATTTTTATTTGCATTTGGTTTGTATGTACTATATGTTTTTCCATGTATATATTTTAAAATTACCAACATATACAGGTAGAAAATTTATGTATTGGATGGATATTAAAACTGTACAGTTATAATAGCAATGATATTCTCAAAAGGAGATCAAATGATTGTAACTTAAAAAAACCCTAAGTATATATAGAGATAAAAACCTGTAAGACTACTACAGGTTTATTTTTCCTGTGGTTGGTCATATCATATGTAATTCCCTCATGTGATTTTATTGTGTTTTCTTTAGAGTACTTTATAAAGATGAGGATGTAAGAGATTGAACCATCCTATAATTCCAACTCCACTATTTCCTAGCTGGGTGACCTTGGGGAAATGATTTACTTTTTTGAGTACTAGCTTTCTCACTTGTAGAAAAAAGGCAAAGTAATATTTACTCTAGAAGCTTGCTTTGGGGATTATAAAAAGGTATGTAGAGTCCTTTGCCAGGTATCTGTGAAATAATCAATGTTGCATTGATGGGAGCTATGGTTACTGTCTCTGTGAAAATTAAAGGGGCCTTAATAACCAGTTAGTCCTGAACCTTGTGCATCATTGATGTCTGTATGCAAAATTGTACTGATTAAATCCCATATCTGTCCTTGCTTTTTCTTTGAAGTAAAGATGGTTATCAAACCTTAGTCTATAAAATGAAGGCTTAATCCTCACCAAAATGAAATGCTTTGTTAAGCTGACCTAAATTTTAATTTTTATAAATTAAAGACACATACACACACAGGGAAATACAGAAACTTATCTTCATATATAAACTCATCATATTTCTAACCACTAAATCATTCCTTATCTCTCTTTTCTAGGGTGTAAGGTTAACTTTTCATTCTGACACTTCTTCAATGGGAGCAACTTTTCATAATTGAAGTTTCTTAATCTTTTCTCTAGACATTAAAATGTCTGGGAGGAAGAGAATATCGTAATGAAAATAAAACTTAGAGTAAAAAAAAAAAATCTAGGTTTGAATTCAAGCTCTGCCCAGATTTGCATGACTTTGAACAATAAACCACATCTTTATTCATATAAAATTTGGAAATATACTTTTAAAGTTTTGGAACATTGGACCAGAAGATTATTACTAGCAGATCACTTGATAGTGATCATTTAGAAGTGTATCTACACATGTATTTCTTTTGGCACAAGAATAAATACTTTCTATTACTAGGCATGGTAATAGGAGCAATTACATTCATTATCTCATTTACATAAGATCCAAAAAAATTACAAACACACTGCCTATTGACTGCTCCAAAGCTAAATTTTGGCCTCAGATTCATTTCATTCACAGTTTAGCTGTGATGTTTTTGCTTGGCTTAGTCCCAGATACTATGACTACACCTCAAACAATCCCAACACTTAGTTTTCATTTTCCTAAATTGTTTGGGTCAGGATTTGGACAGAAAAAAGCAAGGATGGTTTGTCACACTGTACCACAATACCTGGGGTATCACATTGAAAGACGGAAAAGCAGGGAGGGAATGTGATTCAAAGACTGGGAGCTAGAACAATCCAAAGGCATGTTCGGGTATATAGTTAGTACCTGGACTGGGATTGCTCAATGACTAGGACTGTAACCTGGTTGCCATCACATGTCCTCTCCATAGCTTGGACTTCACATCATGGCCTCCTTAGAATAGTCAGACTCCTTTTGTGGCAGCATGGGGCTCCAAGAGCAAGTGTTCTAACCAGCAAAGCAGAAGTAGTATCCCATAGGAATTATCCTTTGTCATCTAAAGGTCACATAACATCACTTCTCCCTTGCTCTATGGGGGGAAACATAAATCAACCCAGATTACAGAGGAGGGAACATAGACTGGACTTCTTAGTGAAGAGTATGTCAAAGAACTTGCAAGCAAGTGTTAAAACTGCCACAGTCCACTTTCTTAGCCACACATTGTTTACATTCCTATGATCTTCAAAACAAATTTCATTTCATCCCAAGGGTCTCCATAAAAGCATCCATCCAATTCATATGTGAATGATGCTCCTTGGGTATCATTCCTTGGATATATCCCTTTAGGTCTGAAAACCTATTAAATAAGTAAGCAACTCAACTGCCCCACCACTCCCAAGATTGGTGAAAGGAGTAAGGGATAATTACAACAGATAACTTGCATTCAGAGCCTGGTAAAGGGAGGCACAAAGCAGCCACTAATCTGTCATAATTCTGAAATCTGGCCTGACACATGTTACCATTTCTCTGTTTGAGGCAAATTCCTGCCCACTGTGGATTGTTCTCACAGCTCTGGCTCCATCACCCAGAGTCTTGATTCCACCTTCTGAACTGTTCTTTCTTTTCCATAAGATATAGCCAGTATTTGCAACAGAGTAGACTTCCTAGTCATTCTCCTGCCTATAAAAATTGGATGACAGAAATGCTTCTTTCAAGTTTGCCTGTCCCTGTGTCTCTATTCCACACCAATTCATTTTCTTTAAAAAATTTTGTGAGTTTCCCATGAATGAATTCCTAATCTACTCCATTAGTTATAAGTCACAGACACAAATCTTTTCCATTAAAAATACTGTGAGAAAATTCTAAGATTCTTAGAAGTTCTATTAATTTTTTTAAAGAGAAGGTCTGCATAGCACTTACTTAAGCTTCGAAGATCTGTTTGGGAGGATGTGGTAGACAGCTTCAAAGCTGACATCTAATGATCCCTGCTTATGGTATGCATGCCCTTTATAGTCTCCCTCCCTTGAGTGATAGCTGAATCTCATGACTTTCTTCCAACAATAAGAATACAACAAAAGTGGTGGGCTGTCACTTCCCAAAATAGGTTACAAAGTCACTGTTTCTGTCCTTCCTACTAAGTTGTTAAGGAAAGAAGAACATAAAGTTTGGGGAAACAAGAACAAAGTAGACATACCAGAAAGATTGTATTCTTAAGGCAACATTGGTCTATGGGGAGAGATCAGAACCTATCAGTTCAAACTGGAATATCATTTGTCTTTCAGGTTTGCCAACATTAATCATATAGGTGACCTGCAAGATAAGCTGGTGTACCTTCACATATGCCTGATTTAGGATTTGAAGATGCTAAAGGAGCAATTTGGCTGGAGCTAGAAGAGTCATAGGTCTTGCTGTTGCTCTCCACCAACAAGGGGAACCCCTCAGATCAGCAACAAATACTGCTACTTTTGCAGGGTACAGGGGTGCATACCTGAAATCCCAGGGACTCTACCCCAGAAGTTGAGGCAGGAAGATGACAAATTGGAGGTCAGCTTCAGCAACTTAGCAAGACCCTGCCTCAAAATAAAACATAATATTAACAAAAAAGGGCTGGGGATGTAGCACAGTGGTAGTACACCCCAGTATTGCAAAATCATAATAGTGTAGCTGCTTTTCACATCTCTGCCTTACAGATCTTATGTAGAAATCTTCATGAAAAGGTTTAGCTCAAAAACTACTGAGAGGGGCTAGAGTTGTGGATCAGTGGTGAAGCACTTGCCTAGCATGTATGAGGCACTGGGTTTGATCCTCAGCACACATAAAAATAAACAAATAAAATAAAGGTATTGTGTCCATCTACAACTAAAAATTTATATAAATAAAGTTAAAACATAAATAAAATAAACAAATAAATAAACGGAGAAGGGAATTGTGGGAAACATATCTGGCTTAGTTAAATTAACACAGTACAAATTTGCTCCGTTTTGAAACTCATAATGCATAATGATTCTTATGTAGTTATTTAGTTTGTATTTTTAATTAATAAGATTTGCCTTTTCTCTTTCTACTCAATATTTATCAAAATGTATTTAGGGCTCAAGCCACATAGCTCAATAGAAAGTTGCAATCAGAATTCGTATCAGGTGATTTACAGGTAAGCTCTAAGCTGAATTAGATCCGGAGGCATTTTCAACTGTGGAAGGTCATAAAACCAATATTTTAAAAAATGTAATTGTTGGTTGTTAAATTGAAGATGTACAGTGAAAAGTAACATGAAATATGTTTTGGTAAGTATAAACTTCCTCAGTGAGGGAAAAACAGACATGCATTCAGGGGGGAAAGGAGAAGAAAATATGATGTGATAAAGAAAGAACACTGGCAATTCACCAGCTCTGGAGCCCAAGCACAGCAAATGGGACTTCCATTCTAAGTAGGTGGGAGAAAGCTAGGTGTCACCCTGGAACACGAGTTGACAAGGAGCCAAATCTCTAATCCTGCTATTTAAAATTCAAGGAGATCCTCAGATTGTAAATGGACCATAAAATGCATGATCTGGAACATTGCCCTCATCTGTATTTTGCTTAGACAGCCCTTTTAATGTCTTGTGTTCAGTTTTACATTTAGGAAGGATAGTCAAAATATTAAAGTATGCCAAGAAATACCTAAAAATTAGATCCATGAGTCAAAGCTAAAGAAAGTAAGTCAAAAAATATTTTAAATATGTTTTTTTCTTCGGCAAGGGGTGGGGGACACGGGACCAAAAAGAATAAGGGGAACCTCTTATTCAAACGGGTGATGAATGTGAAGAAAAATACACAATGCATGTCTTAATTGATTCACTCAATAATTATTACTTGAGCACTTATGTTCCAGCCCTTGTTTCAGGTTCTACAATATAGCAGAGAGACAAAAACAATAGTGCTACTATATACTCATATTTTTTAGACAAATGTGTTAACAATGATGATCTCTGTGTACTCTGATCATGAATACTTTTTTATCTCTATTTTTCTAAGTTTTATGCATTGAGTTTGTATTTTGCAGTGAAGAATGAAACCTCCTTTAAAAAATAAATTTGAGGTCCGAGGTTATGGCTCAGTGGTAGCACACTTGCCTATCATGCATGAGGCACTGGGTTCAATCCCCGGCACCACATAAAAATAAACAAATAAAATAAAGGTATTGTGTCCATCTACAACTAAAAAATTATATTAAAAAAATAAATTTGAATCGGAGGAGTAGCCTCACTATCAGAAAGGTCATTGGGGGAAAATAAAAGGAATGTTGAACATTTGTAAATTTCATTACATCAAATCTGTTCATAGGCATCTGACTGCTATAATCTCTCCCAGGCTGCTACAGCAGTAAGCACATTTACTTGAATCTTTGAGTTAAATTTTTATAGAATTTCTGATGACTCTTTACATGTAAGAATGCAAATTAAGTCTTCCACTTGATAGCAGCAGACGATTTGCTTCTTCGGGTACTTTAGGTTGTGTTTTTTTAAAAAATAATTAGTTTTGCTTCTGCCAGATTTCCTATGCCTAGTTTCTCCACCTTCTCCTTCATCCCTAGGCAAAGTAACTCCTGATATCAAATTCTGTCTACTGAATACATGTGAATAAATTAGTTAATTAATTAACTGACTTATTTTCTCAACTAATATTTGTGCAACTACTCTGTACAAATTGTCAGGCACAATTTCAGATGCTGGTGCTTAGCAGTAACTAAAATATGCATCCACAATAAGGCATATATTCTAATTGTCAGAGATTTATAGCAAATCGTTAAACAAAAGAAGGTTAACTCAACATAAAATGTGTGCATAGAAAAAAATTGAATAGTGTATGGTTTGGATATGAGGTATCCACCCAAAGCTCCTGTGTTAATGCAGGAATATTCAGAGGTGAATGTTTGGA